CTTGCACACTGCTCCTGTTACTTTTTACACTGCTCCCTGTTACATGTACACTCCTCCTGTTACTTGTACACTGCTCCTGTTACTTGCACACTGCTCCTGTTACTTGTACACTGCTCCTGTTACTTGTACACTGCTCGTGTTACTTGTACACTGCTCCTGTTACTTGTACACTGCTCCTGTTACTTGTACACTGCTCCTGTTACTTGTACACTGCTCCTGTTACTTGTACACTGCTCCTGTTACTTGTACACTGCTCGTGTTACTTGTACACTGCTCGTGTTACTTGTACACTGCTCCTGTTACTTGTACACTGCTCCTGTTACATGTACACTCCTCCTGTTACTTGCACACTGCTCCTGTTACTTGTACACTGCTCCTGTTACTTGTACACTGCTCGTGTTACTTGTACACTGCTCGTGTTACTTGTACACTGCTCGTGTTACTTGTACACTGCTCCTGTTACTTGTACACTGCTCGTGTTACTTGTACACTGCTTCTGTTACTTGTACACTGCTCCTGTTACTTGTACACTGCTCCTGTTACTTGTACACTGCTACTGTTACTTGTACACTGCTCCTGTTACTTGTACATTGCTCCTGTTACTTGCACACTGCTAGTGTTGCTTGTACACTGCTCCTGTTGCTTGTACACTGCTCCTGTTTCTTGTACACTGCTCGTGTTGCTTGTACACTGCTCTGTTACTTGTACACTGCTCCTGTTACTTGTACACTGCTCCTGTTACTTGTACACTGCTAATGTTACTTGTACACTGCTCCTGTTACTTGTACACTGCTCCTGTTACTTGTACACTGCTCGTGTTACTTGTACACTGCTCCTGTTACTTGTACACTGCTCCTGTTACTTGTACACTGCTCGTGTTGCTTGTACACTGCTCTGTTACTTGTACACTGCTCCTGTTACTTGTACACTGCTCCTGTTACTTGTACACTGCTCCTGTTACTTGTACACTGCTCTGTTACTTGTACACTGCTCCTGTTACTTGTACACTGCTCCTGTTACTTGTACACTGCTTCTGTTACTTGTACACTGCTCCTGTTACTTGTACACTGCCCTGCTACTTGTACATTGCCCCTGCTAATTGTACACTGCTCCTGTTACTTGTACACAGCTCCTGTTACTTGTACACTGCCCTGCTACTTGTACACTGCCCCTGCTAATTGTACACTGCCCCTGTTACTTGTACACTGCCCCTGTTACTTGTACACTGCCCTGCTACTTGTACACTGCCCCTGCTAATTGTACACTGCTCCTGTTACTTGTACACTGCTCCTTTTACTTGTACACTGCCCTGCTACTTGTACACTGCCCCTGCTAATTGTACACTGCTCCTGTTACTTGTACACTGCTCCTGTTACTTGTACACTGCCCTGCTACTTGTACACTGCCCCTGCTAATTGTACACTGCTCCTGTTACTTGTACACTGCCCCTGCTATTTGCCCTGGTATTCAGTAAGTCGGTCATAAATTAAGTCACAGATAGACCGCATCTTCCCTGACTGCTGGCGGCTGTTGATACTGTCTCTTTCCGCAGATAGACTTATAAACCAGATAGATATACAAGGGAAAGAGTTAGAAATTACCTCAGAAGAGTCGCAGAGCTTCTTAGAAAGAAGTTAGAATGGATCTTAGAAAACTTAGGTCCGCAAGTTAGGTCTACAAGTTAGATCTACAAGTAGGTCTATTAATTATGTCTACAAGTTAGGTCTACAAGGCACCCCTACAATTTAGGGCTATAAGTCAGGTCTGCAAGACAGCCCTACAAGTTAGGTCTACAAGACATCCCTACAAGTTAAGTCTACAAGACAGCCCTACAAGTTAGGTCTACAAGACAGCCCTACAAGTTAGATCTACAAGACAGCCCTAAAAGTTAAGTCTACAAGACAGCCCTACAAGTTAAGTATACAAGACAGCCCTACAAGTTAAGTCTACAAGACAGCCCTACAAGTTAGGTCTACAAGACAGCCCTACAAGTTAGGTCTACAAGACAGCCCTACAAGTTAGGTCTACAAGACAGCCCTACAAGTTAAGTCTACAAGACAGCCCTACAAGTCAGGTCTACAAGACAGCCCACAAGTTAGGTCTACAAGACAGATCACAAGTTAGGTCTACAAGACAGCCCACAAGTTAGGTCTACAAGACAGATCACAAGTTAGGTCTACAAGACAGCCCACAAGTTAGGTCTACAAGTCTACAAAACAGCCATACAAGTTAGGCCTACAAGTTAGATTTACAAGACAGCCGTACAAGTTAGGTCTACAATCTACGTGGGTCTTCATCTTGGTCTCTAGACCAATCAATAGCAAGTGACGTCATGATGCAGTAACAGCCTTGTTAGGAAGGATAGTTTGTCCCCCTAACAACCTTGTTAGAGTCGTTGCTCATAACTACCTAGATTCCGACAGACTTATTGTCTAACTTCCTGTCTGTGGCTGTCTTTCTGTTTGTCTTTGTCTTCCTGTATATTGTTATCTTCTTGTCTGTGGCTATCTTCCTGTCTGTGGCTATCTTCTTGTCAGTGGCTATCTTCCTGTCTGTGGCTATCTTCCTGTCTGTGGCTATCTTCCTGTCTGTGGCTATCTTCCTGTAATAAATTTAACAGTTGTTAAATACCTGGTTGTCTTTATAAGTGTACATACACCTGTCAGTGTATATACACTGACAGACATACACCTGTCAGTGTATATACACTGACAGACATACACCTGTCAGTATATATACACTGACAGACATACACCTCTCAGTATATATACACTGACAGACATACACCTCTCAGTATATATACACTGACAGACATACACCTCTCAGTATATATACACTGACAGACATACACCTCTCAGTATATATACACTGACAGACATACACCTCTCAGTATATATACACTGACAGACATACACCTCTCAGTGTATATACACTGACAGACATACACCTCTCAGTATATATACACTGACAGACATACACCTCTCAGTATATATACACTGACAGACATACACCTCTCAGTATATATACACTGACAGACATACACCTCTCAGTATATATACACTGACAGACATACACCTCTCAGTATATATACACTGACAGACATACACCTCTCAGTATATATACACTGACAGACATACACCTCTCAGTATATATACACTGACAGACATACAACTCGCAGTATATATACACTGACAGACATACACCTCTCAGTATATATACACTGACAGACATACACCTCTCAGTATATATACACTGACAGACATACACCTCTCAGTGTATATACACTGACAGACATACACCTCTCAGTATATATACACTGACAGACATACACCTCTCAGTATATATACACTGACAGACATACACCTCTCAGTATATATACACTGACAGACATACACCTCTCAGTATATATACACTGACAGACATACACCTCTCAGTATATATACACTGACAGACATACACCTCTCAGTGTATATACACTGACAGACATACACCTCTCAGTATATATACACTGACAGACATACACCTCTCAGTATATATACACTGTGAAGAATACTAAAATAATGAACAGATTTATTACTAAATAAATCTGAAAATAGTTCAATAAATCAGTAAATTAATTTTAGTACTTTCATTAACAATTATTTTTATTGATCATTTTATTTTTAATAAAAAAATATTCAATATTATTAACTCGCCAAGAAACTGGAAAATGTATAAAGATTTTGGAGACGACTAGTCTTAAAATGAACTAAGAAAAGACGTAAGAATTTTTAACAAAACTAGTCCACAATATACTAGCAAGGAGACTAGTCCAGGAACTAAGGGCTATTGTATAGGGCATAGTAGGTCATAGAGGCAACTTGGGAGATGTGATCACGACATACAAGATACCTAGTGAGTTTGTTTTGGTGGTTGAGGAAATACTAGGGGGCGGAAAACTGGTACTTAAGGGCCATTCTTAGAAGCTTCAGGGACTCAGAAGAGTGGCAGGGATGTCAGGAAGTACTTTTTTTTTAGCTTCTGTGCACCACTTTAAGGATAGATACGTCAGAGCCACGGGAGAGTGAATCCAGAGACTGGGCAAGAAGCTGCGACTCAACCCCAGCAGCTATAAAAGGGTAAGCACAAAAACTATGACATGAAGCACGTTTGAAAATACTGGTGAAGGCTCTTGATTCGAGGAACTGGAGCTACTCTTGTTATCCTCGGATGAAACCTGATTACCACTATCGCCTTCCTATGAATATAATAATAATAATAATAATAATAATAATAATAATAATAATAATAATTAATAATAATAATAATAATAATAATAATAATAATAATAATAATAATAATAAGAAGAAGAAGAAGAAGAAGAAGAAGAAGAAGAAGAAGAAGAAGAAGAAGAAGAAGAAGAAGAAAGAAGAAGAATACAAGGATCATTGTTCCTATTCTTCTTTAGCCTGACTAAGAATACTTTCAAGAAGTAAAGAAGTAATTACCGGAGTTCTTGCTTCTTTAATCACAACCAGGCTACTCTTCTTTAATTGTTGTCATGCTGTTACTGCCTCTTAATGTGACCAATGAGGCACGCTCCCGCCAGAAGATCATCAGCCAATCAGACACGTACCCCTCTGACTCTCCACCAATCACGGCTAGTCCCGCCAGAAGATCACCAGCCAATCAGCGGCGCGTCTCCGCCTCTCTGCTCCTAGCGCTCCTGAAGACTGGAAGCCTCGGCCAATTTTGTCGTATTCTTAGTTATTTCTTGGGTTATTAGTGGAGTTATCAGTCTTTTTTCTTATTATGATAGTTAGAGACGTGTTACGTAAGCATATTTATGGGAAGAAATGGGTATTAGGGGGGTTAATAAGAGGAAGAAGAGGGTTTGTTATTCTACTATGCATTGTTGAAGAGGTCACTGGCTTGTGAAACATTGGGATGTGATGGCGCGGGCGTGGGCGGTGGAGGCGGCGGCGGTGGCAGCGGTGGTGGTGGCAGGGTGGCACAAGACCTCTACCACTAGATAGACCTGCTGCCACCTGGCAAGAGCCATCGTCAGTAGCTGCTGAGTCGCCATCACTGCTGCTCATCTGCTCCTTCTTCTTACGCAGCTCAACTTTGCCCCCTAAGTTATCAGTCTTGGTCTTTCTCCTGGCCCTCTGGTACTTGAAATCCGCTTCAGCCTACCCGAAGAACAAGAACTTGAAAGGTGTGTACAGTATTTTTCCAGTGACTACCAACACACGTAAATCATTATCAACAATGCTGTCTTATATTTACAGCATTTATGCCCATTAAGAACAAATACTTGAGCATTTTTCTTCTGGTTTCAGATAAAACTTTCCCCAGATTGAGTCTTGGAATTCCTGAACTGCGATTCACTTTTTCAGAGTCACACCTCAGCAGTACATGACAGATCCCAGGACAGAGTTAACACTCTTATAAGAGCCCCCTACCAGGATTAAGACCTCGTTCAGCGAGAAGGCTTAAGGAATTATATTTCAGGAGAAATGAGCGGCTCTGGAAAAGGACTCTTGGGGCTCTGGCTATACAAGACGGGAGAAGAATGGATGTTAAAGGATCCACTTCGAGTAAGTACTTCTTCACGTTTTGTTTACTCGTGGGGAAGCGCTACGCCCGTATGGGCTGGATATGAGTGGGACTTGCACACGAGTTAAAAGGGTTATCAAAGTTTATTGCTTGGGTAGCATAGATATTGGGTTGGGCAAATATTTTGGTTAGTAGGTTTGGGTTTGGGTTTGTGAAGGACCTGCCTAGTATGCGCCATTAGGCCTGCTGCAGTGTTCCTCCTTTCTTATGTAGCGCATGGGGACAATGAGAGGCATTCAGGTTCGATCCAAGGGAGGTGAGGATAGAGCCAGTCCTGGAGATCACGAACTTCTCCTTTCACAAGTAAGACACATGTGCAGAAGCAGTAAAGATGTAAAGACGATATCATCGGCCCATTACTCTTGAAGACGTAATTTTGAGGTAGTCAGTCCCTCAGCCTGGAAAAAGAGTTTGACTCCATAGTCTGGAACAAAGTTCCAGACTATGGAACAGAACTCTTCTCCAGTCTGAGGGACTGACCACCTCATTCTCTTCCCCATCTTTCATCATTTTTTTCTCAGTACTGGATTGAAGAAGTCACTGGCTGGCCAAAAGTTACCTCATCTCTCGTACTCAGAAAGACGACCACCCTCGACTAATTATGTGACTGTAGTCACTCTGTATATAATTCGTGTGATGGGTGTGCAGTGACTACCACCCACATGAGCGTGGGGGACAAAAACCCATATAATGAATATATGGTGACTATCACCCACACGATGGCCATATGACTATCGCTCACACGATAGCCATGTTATAACTATCACCCACACAATAGCCATATTATAACTATCATCTACACAATAGCCATATCATAACTATCACCCACACGATAGCCATATCATAACTACCACCCACACGATGGGCACCTACCACCCACAGGATAGACATGTGGTGATTACCATCCTCGAGATGGGTAGGAGATATTAAATTAACCCACCAGACAACTACCCTAAGGAACAATAACACACAGTACCAGGACTAGAACAATCGTAACTGGTTAATCATGAGCAATAACACACAATAATAGGACTGGAACAATCGTAACTGGTTAATCATGAGCAATAACACACAATAATAGGACTGGAACAATCGTAAATGGTTAATCATGAGCAATAACACACAATAATAGGACTGGAACAATCGTAAACGGTTAATCATGAGCAATAACACACAATAATAGGACTGGAACAATCGTAAATGGTTAATCATGAGCAATAACACACAATAATAGGACTGGAACAATCGTAAACGGTTAATCATGAGCAATAACACACAATAATAGGACTGGAACAATCGTAAACGGTTAATCATGAGCAATAACACACAATAATAGGACTGGAACAATCGTAAACGGTTAATCATGAGCAATAACACACAATAATAGGAGTGGAACAATCGTAACTGGTTAATCATGAGCAATAACACACAATAATAGGACTGGAACAATCGTAACTGGTTAATCATGAGCAATAACACACAATAATAGGACTGGAACAATCGTAAATGGTTAATCATGAGCAATAACACACAATAATAGGACTGGAACAATCGTAAATGGTTAATCATGAGCAATAACACACAATAATAGGACTGGAACAATCGTAAATGGTTAATCATGTAAAATAATACATAATATCAAGATTGGAACAATACACATATAACCACAGGGAAAAGCAGTGTATATCTTCAGCGCATATATCAGTGTATATATCCCCTGGGTGTGAGACAGTGAATATCTTCCCATGTGTGTTTGTAAACATTCACAAACATTATACCAGTTACTCTATACTCCGCCACGAAATTAATAATAACCGTGATTATATATAACGCTAGTTAAAACTAGCATAAACATTACATACTTTGCTGAGAAAAAGTTGCAGATGTTTAGGATCAAGTTTGAGATGATAGAAATGTTTAGGTACAAATTAGCAATGCGTTAAATGTTTAGGCACAAGTCAGACATGCTAGAAATGTTTAGGAAAAATAAGTATTAGGTTGCTGGTAAGAGGCATGGTATTAAAAGATAAAGAATCTGACTCAAAGTGGGAATTGTCACAGTTGCTCTTTGCTGATGACACTGTGCTTGTGGCAGGTTCTGAAGAGAAGTTACAGAAGTTGGTGGATATGTTTGGTAGGGTGTTTTAAAGAAGGAAATTAAAAGTGAACATAGGAAAAAAACAAGGAGGTGAGGATAACATTAAAATTAGGTAATGAATGATACAAAAAACCAGTATTTAACAGACTTAAACTAAAACCACTTAAGTTCTTCTTGCCACCATCTGGGATACATGCTGACTCCCTTCCCTTGGCGCTTCTGTGTGACTAGTTAATGGTCGAAGTCGGACCGAAATGCTATAACTTTTAGTCTCCTGTGTGCGGGTATTGTTCAATCTCGATGTTGCGCATTTTTTTGTCCCTCAAACAATGAAAGATTTGATATCAGATTGGAGGGAGGGAGTATGTGGAAGTGAATGTGTTCAAATATTTGGGAGTAGAATTATCGGCAGATGCGTCTATGAAAGATGAGGTTAACCATAGAAGTAATGAGGGGGGAAAAAGAATGAGTGATGCACTGAGAAGTCTGTGGAGACATAGAACCTTACCCATGGAAACAAAGAAGGGAATGTATAAGGATATAGCGGTACCAACGCTCTTACATGGGTGTGAAGCATGGGTGGTGAATGTTGCAACAAGGAGAAGGCTGGAGGCAGTGTCTGAGAACAATATACACTGTGAAGATCATGTAGAGAATCTGTACTTTGGAAATTAGGAGGCGTGGAGTTACTAAAAGTATTATCCAGATGCTGAGGAGGTGTTGTTGACGAAGTTTTTATATTTACAGAGGATGGCTTGAAATAGAATGACTTGGAGAGTGTATAAATCTGTAGTGGAAGGAAGACGGGGTAGGGGTCCTCCTAAGTAAGGTTGGAGGGAGGGGGTAAAGGAGGTTTTGTGTGCTAGATGCTTGGACATCGAACAAACTTGAGTGAGCGTGTTAGGTAAGAGTGAGTGGAGGCAATATTGTTTTCATGACTTGGCATGCTGTTGGAGTGTGAGCAAGATAATATTTATGAAGGGATTCAGGGAAACTGGTTAGCTCTCTCTCTCTCTCTCTCTCTCTCTCTCTCTCTCTCTCTCTCTCTCTCTCTCTCTCTCTCTCTCTCTCTCTCTCTCTCTCTCTCTCTCTCTCTCTCTCCCTCTCTCTCTCTTTCTCTCTCTCTCTTTCTCTCCTCTCTTCTCTCTCTCTCTCTTCTCTCTCTCTCTCTCTCTCTTCTCTCCTCTCTCTCTCTCTCCTCTCTCTCTCTCTCTCTCTCTCTCTCTTCTCTCCTCTCTCTCTCCTCTCTCTCTCTCTCTCCTTCTCTCTCTCTCTCTCTCTCTCTCTCTCTCTCTCTCTCTCTCTCTCTCTCTCTCTCTCTCTACGCTCTCTCTCTCTCTCTCTCTCTCTCTCTCCTCTCTCTCTCTCTTCTCTCTCTCTCTCTCTTCTCTCTCTCTCTCTCTCTCTCTCTCTCTCTCTCTCTCCTCTCTCTCATCTCTCTCTCTCTCTCTCTTCTCTCTCTCTCTCTCTTCTCTCTCTCTCTCTCTCTCTCTCTTCTCTCCTCTCCTCTCTCTCTCTCTCTTCTCTCTTTTTTTTTTTTTTTTTTTTTTTTTTTTTTTTTTTTACACAGGTTTGAAAAGGTTAAGGATCCTAGCTTTATTGACAGCTATTTACAGGTTAAGGATTCCTAACTTTATTGCAAGCTAAGAGCGGGTTACCTACATCAGCTCATTTGAAAGCATTTTTGTTATGAGACATACAAGTAGGGGGGAACAGGGATGAAGTTGAGCCATCTGTGGGCCAGCATTTTCATTTGATCAACTGACGTTATCTCGTTTTACATCATTATGCGAAAGAATGTGTTCCATACTCGATCATCCTGGGTATGTATGATCTAGTGGAGTGATGTTCGGAGAAGGGTACAGCCAGAGTGAAGTTTTCTGCTTTCTGCCCGTTTGTGGCTAAAAGCTTGTTTCCGCTGTCCTCGAAGTGGATCCAAGTGTGGTATTTTGACAATATTGGCCTTGTACTAACAGGGAAGGCCACCCAACATCCCTCCTATGTTTTAAGGGCCTGCTGAAATACAGATCCATCCAGGATGGGTCCAGGCGAGAGATGAGACGTCTTGCTCTTTTTCTCTACTCTGTCAAGCAGTCGCAATAGAGGGGGGGGGAGGCAAACCAAGAAAGTGGGGGCATACCAAGGTGGGGAGGGGACTTGGCCCGTACAGGATCTTGCAACCCCTACTGTCAAAAGCATATGCGAGATACGGCGAAGTGCTGTAACTTCCCGGCTGCCTTGTTTGCAAATTTACAACATGGTTCTTTATGGTTAGTTTGGATCAAATTTTCACCCCAAGGATATCAACTTCTTCTCCATCCCAAACATGTCCCATTCATCCTTACTACTGGCCAGCTTTTAACCATCTGGTCCCCAAAAACGAAATCTTTTGCGTTTTTTCGGGTGAAAAAGTTCTTGCCATCTTTTTCCCCCAACTGATATACTCCAGCTGGGATTGAGTAGCTTAAGCAGCTGCATTTCTTCTTTTTGGAAAGTGAATGTCATGACTCGCTGCAAATCAGTGATTCTGGGAGAGATGAAAAAGGTCGTTGAAGTAACTTTTCCCATAACAGGGGACCCGCACACTTCCTTGTGAACGCTTGCCCCAATAGGTGCCTTCTGATTCCGTTATTGAGGACTACACTTAGAATCCCAAAAAAAATCACTGAGGAGACAAGCGTGAGCCTGCATCCCCAGTGTTTGAAGTTTTCTAAAGGCCCGGGTGCCACACCCGCGAAAGCGCCAGCAATGTCCATGCTACCACCAGCTGATTTTGGATTCATCCAGTGACGGGTGCCACTATGGAGAGGTTTAACAACAGATCACAGAAAGAAACCTTCCTGAAGCCAATTGACGATCAAAAGTAGTGAGTGTAGAAAAAAA